CAGCGACTGTGGGAAAAGCTGCGAGGTCAGGGAAGAGGTACGGCAGGATGAGGCGGCTAAGTGCAGCAGTGGCAGGGGAAGAGTAGCGTGCAACTACAGCGTCGTACAAGGTCCTAGCACTCTTGTACTGGCTAAAGTGTGCACGCTCAGAGGTAGGCAAGTGGCGACGCACAGCAAGACGTGCAGCAGCATCGCGTGTGGCCCACTGTGAGCGAACAGTGGCGTCAGCATCAGCAGCAGGGGCAGGAGAGGCACCAGAAGTGAGGTCAAAGAGGGAGAGACCGTCTGCCCTATCGCACTGTAGGAAAAGCTGCAGGTCATCTACCCAGACGTCAAAGTCAATGGCCCGACCCTCAGCGTCAAAAGCGAGGACACTGGGGGTAGCCATGACAGCAGTAGACTAGCAGCGCGAGCAGTAGGCTAAGGGCAGTGCAGTGGTAGAGGTGCTGCTCTTACCGGGCAGGCGAGAAGGACCGAGGCTCGCCGGCAGGAACAGGGCCGCGACGGCAGTGACTGGGTGTAGCGGACAGGGCGGCTCGGACGGCTCGGCGGCTCGGCGGCACGGCAGCAACAGCAGCTCGGCGGCTCGGCGACTCGGCGGCTCGGGCGGCTCGGGCGGCTCGGCGGCTCGGGCGGCTCGGGCGGCTCGGGCGGCTCGGGCGGCTCGGCGGTTCGGGCGGCTCGGGCGGCTCGGCGGGAGCGGCGGCTCGGTTGCTGCAGGGACAGTGGCAGCTGCTGCTGCAGGGACGACGGCGGCGACTGCTGCTGCAGAGACTGCGGCGGCCGCTGCTGAAGGGACGACGGCGGCGGCCGCTGCTCCAGGGAAGGCGGCGGCCGCTGCTGTAGTGGGCGACGGCGGGCCGCAAAAGGGGGGGGGGGGGGCGTAAGGGGCCGCGTGAGGGGCCGTAAGGGGCCGCTAAGGGCGGCGCGAGGGGCCGCAAGGGCGGCGGCGGGGCCGAGGAGCGGCGCGAGGGGCCGCAAGGGCGGCGCGCGGGGCCGACGAGAGGCGTGAGGGGCCGCAAGGGCGGCGCGCGGGGCCGACGAGAGGCGCCCGAGGGGCCGCAAGGGCGGCGCGCGGGGTCGACGGGCGGCACGAGGGGCCGTAAGGGTGGCGCGCGGGGCCGTAAGGGCGGCTCAAGGGGCCGCTAAGGGCGGCGCAACGGTAGGGAGGGCACTAGAGAGCGTTCCCACTAGGGAACCTGCTCTGAAACCATGTGGAAATGAAACGAGGAATGATTGAACTGAGCAGCATGAGAAGTACAAGTACCAAACCCTAAAGTGTTGTACCCCATATAAGCTACCCCACTACAGCCTACACAGACTATAGTGTATGAGTTTGACAGAAACTACCCTCCAAAAGGGCCTACACCAAGAGAAATGTTACACTACACAAAGTAATGCAACTATTCTCACTATCTTAAAGTTTATCCCTTTTGGTGAGCTTCGAAATCACTTGATTCTTGAAACCAAGGCTCTGGTTCTTCAAGGTAAATTCTTCATTGAGTTCTTGGAAGTCTGCTGCGCACACCTGCGACACGCCGAACGTTCCACACACGACAAAATAGAAAACCGCACACGACACGCAAACGACGACGTGACACGCGACTAGCGATAACTCGCTATTGACTCGACACACACATTCAAAATCATGCCTCATCATTCACACACTATTGTAAGCATGAAATATATATTATTTCATGCCCTCATACCATTCCATGCACACACGCATGCACGCACACGGACAACAAGCCGAATGCAAACCGTAGGGTTGCACCAACAAACTCCCCCTCGGATTGTTGGCCTTAGGATCTTGCTCTCTCAGTTCAGAGCCATCCGAGCCAGCTTGCAACACTTCCAATGCTGCTGCTCCACCAGCCTCTTGGTCATCATGTCAGCTGGCTGCCTTGTCGTCTTCACATAGTGCAACTCAACTTCACCCGCGGCCACCATGTTCCTCGTCCAATGCCACTTCACCCTCATGTGCTTGGTGAGGCCATGCAACACAGGGTTCTTAGCAAGAGCAATGGCATCCTGGCTGTCACAGTAGAGTGGGGTAGGTCCTTGCTGCTCCTCCCCCAATTCAGCCAACAAACGCCGCTGCCACACAATCTCCCGTACGGCACGGAAGAGTGCCATGTACTCGGACTCCACCGAGCTCAATGCTTGATCCACCTGCTTCTTGCTCTCCCAAGCAGTTGGGCCTCCACCAACACAGCAAATGAACCCTCCAACACTTGTCATGTCCTCTGGTTCCGATGCAAAGGAAGCATCTGAGAATGCGGTGAGGAACAAACGCCCGGGTTCAACACCATCCGCGCCCTTTTGGCGCCTTTGCGCCGCCGCCGAGTATTGCAGCCCAACGGTCGGTGTTTGGCCAAGATACTTGGCCACCCTCATTCCAGCTGCTACCTGCTCCTCATTAGGGCATTGCACAACCCTAGCCAGCTGCCCGGTAGCAAACGCGACGTCCGGTCGGGTGTTTACCGCCGCATACATGAGGCTGCCCACCAACGAGTGAAATCGGCGCCTCTCCTCTTCACCAACGCTCTCCTCCTCTGGTCCCTTCACACACTTGAACCCAGAGGGAAAGGGTGTAGCCACATGGCCTTCACTCTGCCCAAAGTTGGCAGCCAATGCCTCCAGGTACTTTCGTTGATGCACCCGCATGCACCGCTTCTCCACATCTCGTTCGATGTGGAGCCCAAGGTAGAAGCTCACGTCACCAAGGGCCTTGCACTTGAACTTGTCTTGAAGCTTCAGCATCACCTCCTTCACAAGGTCAGAAGAGGGTGAGAAAATGAGGATGTCATCCACATAAACCACCATGAAACTCCTCTGCTCCCCCTCGCCAAGCATGAACAAGGAGTGATCGGCCGTTGAGGGAGTGAAGCCGATCCCCTCCAACACTTCGCGCAGCTTCATGTACCATTGCCTAGGGGCCTGCTTCAGCCCATAGAGGGCCTTCTTCAGCTTCCACACTCTGCCACTACCATCATCAAACCCCTCTGGCTGCGCCATAAAAATCTCCTCCTCAAGGATGCCGTTAAGGAATGCCGTTACGATGTCCATTTGCTTTACTACCCATCCTTTGATGGCGGCTCCCGCGAATAGGGTTCGCAGCGTCGTCGGCTTCACCACAGGGGCAAACAGCTCCTTGAAGTCCACCTTCTCCTTCTGCTGGTACCCCTTGGCTACAATCCTAGATATCTAGCACTCGATTTTGCCGTCGGCGTCGGACTTGATATTAAAGAGCCACTTGGACGTAATCGCCTTACGCCCCTCCGGTAGCTCCACCAATTCCCACGTGCTGTTCTCCTCAATGCTCTTCAGCTCACTCTCCATTGCCTTTTTCCACTCCTCAGCATCATTATTTTCCAAGGCCTCCTTGAGAGTTGCTGGTTCCCCCGGCATCTCCACCGGAGAGAAGAACGCGAAGGCACACTCCTCGTAGTCACTCTCCTCGTCATCTCCAACCATAAGTGCCGCTCCGGTCAGAGCTGACTTGGCTGGATTTCCCAATGCATCATAGGTCAGCCTATTAGGGGCTTGGATTCTCCTCTTGCCCCTTCCTTCCTCCTCAGCTACAGGGACATGAAGGCCTTGGCGTTGCTGCGGGGTGACTCGGATCCGTGGAGCACTCGTAGTGCGAGAAGGAAGTGTCGGTGCACGCTCGCTCACTTGCTGCACCTCCTCCTCTTCTTCCTCTGCATCCTTGGCCTCCTCTCCCCCATTCACAAGGGAAGATTGCCTTGTGGTGGTGCTGCTGCTGCTCAGCTCCAAGGCCAGCTCCACATGCTCCAAACCGGAACTCTTCACCTCTCCAAACCGCATGCCTATCTTCGCCTCATTCTCCGCCTTCCAATCCTTGTACATCAGATTCTCCATGAATTTGCAGTCCCTGCTCACCAAGAATTTCTTGGTGAATGGGTCCCAAAGAAGCCACCCCTTGCTGTTTTGAGCCATGCCCAAGTGCACAGCCCATATCGCCTTGGCACCGAGCTTGTTGTGCCGAAGATGCTTAGGCACGAGCGCCATGCACATGCACCCGAACACCCGAAGCATATCCACCTTTGGCTTCCTTCCAATCCACTCCACATAGGGCACCCATTTGTCTGCTCCCACATGAGTCAAAGCTCTGTTCTTGGCCACACACGCACTCCGCACCGCATCAGGCCAGAAATAGTCGGGTAGCCCGGCTTCAACGAGCAACCCACGCGCCGTCTCCGTGATTGTCCGGTTCGTTCGCTCGGCGATGCCGTTCATTGCAGGGGAGTATGGCATGGTAAGGGAGTGCCTTATGCCATTCTTCTTCAGCCCAAGGGAGCGATGATGCGCATCGTCAAGCGCCAGTGGATAGATCTGACGCAGTTACCGGCCTCGATCTGCTTTTTTCGAGCCTCGCCCAAGTAGACACCCATGAACCGCCTGCAGATGTCGCGTCGCCTGCCAAGATCCCTTTCAAACCGATTGATCCAGATGGGTGGGCTGATTGCCTTTCAGCGCCTGATTTTGAGCAAGAACGTGAGGCGCCCCCCGTGGCAAAATCTACGCCAACAACCCTGCCGAAGAAGAATTGGCGTTACAAGCAGTTATCGCTCCCGTTTCGCTCCAATGCCTCTGTTGACGGACCATCCGCGCCGTCTCCAACCAACATGCCTTCGTCGCCCGCCACTGCTGGCGTGCAGCAATCACCTTCCAAAGCTGGGCCGTCGAAACAGTCTCAGCGCAACGCTATTTACGCTGAGTGTCTGGAGAAATACAAGAGCGAGTGGCTGGAGAGATTTGCTTGGCTTTTGTTACTTAAAACTAATGATGGTCTACCTGCTTTCAAATGCAGTGTCTGTTCTGAACATGCGGGCTACTCTGGACGGTGCGGAAGGGGCGGTAAAGGCGCTACAGACGTTCAGACTCAGGCGTTCAAGCGTCACGCAACAACTAACAAGCACAAGGTGGCGATTGGGAAGAAAAATGACCTTCTCGCTGCTGTCAGTCGGCAACCAATGATCAACGGCGACAACTTGGCGCGCGACATCGAGAAAGAACGGGTCATCTCGCTGCTCGACTCTCTCCTGTTTGTCGCCAAGCAAGACGCACCCATAGAGTTGTGGGTGCAGCTCGTTCGCTATCTCGCGCTAAAAAAGGTGCCTGGTTTTCCCGCAAAGGGTTACGGCACCTACTATTCCACGTGGGTATAGGGTCATCAATCAATCTTGAATTGAATCTGCTGACGTCTGCTGTTTTACACGTTCTAACCTTGTTTTTTGTCTTTGCATCACAGGTACGGTTTCGGACAACTCACGCAATCCATGGCCACGTGGTTGCACACGACGCAGCTTCAGCACATCCTCTCCAGCCCTTACGTTGGTGTTACATGCGACGAGAGCACGGACAGGTGTCGGGGAAAGCATATGATCATCTACATTACATTCATCAAAGAAACCCGCCTTGTAACCGAGTTCTTAGCTCTGCTAACGGTGGACAAGTGCGATGCCGATTCTTTGCTTGCAGTGTTTCTTTCCCACCTGCAGGCTCTGGGCATTGAGCTCGGCCGGATAGCCGGGATCAGGACTGATGGCGCGGGGGTCATGATGGGTGTGAAGAACGGCCTTATCGCGCGCTTGCGTCTGCGCATCCCACACCTCGTATCAAGCCATTGCGTCGCCCACATGTAAAGTTTTGGATGCCTGTACACTGTAATATTTGACATCTTGTACCTTCTATAATACTTACAGATCTTGTTTGTGTTGTTCATGCAGGGAGGCCCTCGCAGCGAAGAACGCTGCCGAGGCTCTGCCCGAGTTTGACATGGTCGACAACCTCATCCGTGCTCTCGCTGAGCATCTCGGCCGTTCATCCCCCTGGCACCAGAGATTCCATGTGCTGCAGGAAGTGTTCACGGCATCCAACCTGGAGCTCCAAGGGATACACAGCGTGCGTTGGCTCTCCAGGGGTGATGCAGTTCTGCGGTTGGTTGACGTCTTCCCTGCTGTCATTGTCATGCTTTCGAAGTATGACCTCCAAATGTATCAGTTAGCCACCAGCTACAGGTTTCATTTCTTGCTCTTCTTCATTGCGGACGTCCTGGAGCAGCTGAACGTCCTGAACAAGACGTTCCAGCAGCATGAGGTGAGCATGTGTATCTTGTCTCTTATTGGCCTCATGCATTAGTGTTGTCTCTTACCCGTTTCTGTCCTTCTGTCCGCGGTTGCTGCTGCCTTGGTCTTTGAAGTTTCGTTGTCTATGCGTGTGCGGCTGATGCCTTATTCATGATTCTTACCAACTTCTTTCTTTCCTTGTGTCTGCCCTTACTAGCTTGACTATGCAGTCGTTCATGCTCAGATCAGGAGGACAACCTCCTACCTGGAGAGTCGATACGTGGACTGTGGAGACGATTTTGGAGGCGGGTTGAGCGCGCGCTTGTCTCCTTTCATCACGAAGCATGGCCCCGATGGTGGATGCCCCAAGGTGACGGTGAAAGGGGTGGACTCAGACGGCAGGCCGACAACACATGAGTTCGTCCTCCACAAGAATCCGAATGAGGACTTCCCAACCGTGGGAAGCCACGACGCCTGCATTGACCTGTGCACTGCGTTCGCCGAGACCCTTGTGTGCAACCTAAATTCACGCTTCGAAGACTTGCAGGGCTTGTCTGGAGTGAGAATTTTCACTCCAGACGAGTGGCCGCATGGGAGGGTGGAGCGATACAACCAATGTCTCGAGTGGCTCAGGTCACTGGTAACCCTGTTCAAAGCAGACAAGTCGGACAGCATCCTGCCTGGTATGCTTCTTGCTAACCCTTGATCTGTCTTTGCCTATCTGCCTAACTGCCTATCTGCCTAACTGCCTATCTGCCTATCTGCCTAACTGCCTATCTGCCTATCTGCCTATCCTTGCTTATCTGCCTATCTTTCCCTATCAGCCTATCTTGCCTATAACCCTATCTTGCTGAACCCTGGACCCTATCCTTCTAAATCTTGCTAATGCACATCCCAACCTTTTCTCTTGTCTGGCAGGGGTCGACAAGCGGTGGGCGATCAAGAAGCTGCGCACATTCTGCCCCATCCTCGCAGGTGCCCCCAAGAACGAGCGATTGCACGGCGAGCTACCCCAACCTGGTGCGGCTGTCGGTGGCAGTCGCCGTACTACCGTTGAGTACGGTGGAGTGTGAGCGCGGCTTTAGCCACCAGAACATCATCAAGTCGTGGCAGCGGGGGAGCCTCAAGGATGCCCGCCTAGAAGACCTCCTCGCCATGTCCCTCCTCGAGTACAAGCCGAACTATGACGAGGTTGTGCAGATCTGGCGCAGCTATAAGAAGCGCCGTCCTTTTGGTAACTTTGCAGCAGCCCCAGCAGTAGAGGGGCAGGGCGATGGCAGAGGAAAGGAAGTAGCTGAAGAAGAGGAAGAGTTGGAGGAAATGGAGCAGGCTTGGCAGGGAGACAATGGCAGTAGGAGTAGTGGTGACTCTGATTCTGATTATTGAACTCTGTCGATGCTGCATGCAAGCACGATGTGCTAAACTTTAAATCCTTCGTTTTATATTTAATCCGACTTTTTTTTTGGATGTAACACTGATCAATCAGGCTTTTAGTTTAAGCAACACTGAATTTCCAGCCTTTTTTTTTTTAGAACACTGTCAATCAGCCTTTTTACTTAGGGCGAGTCTGATGCATCAGGGTACTAAAAAGTGAATCTGAGGGCCTGGTTGGAAACACATAGTTGACGCTTCTGAAGTATCGAAGTAATAACACGAGCGAAGCAGACTACAGTGAAGCAACAAGCGAGTCAAACAAGGAGGTTAACAAAACATAACAGCTGGAGGTTACGTGAAGGTCAAAGGTCGCTGACCTTTGACTCGACGAAATACAGCGCGACAGCTAGGACAAACAACTGACTCGGTATTGAGCAGTTGCTCGAGTCGTCACTGTATCGAACCGCAACAACAAAACAGTTAATTGCACCTTTTCGTATTCCTTGTAATTGTTGGTGCAACCCTACGGTTTGCACTCGGCTTGTTGTCCGTGTGCGTGAATGTGTGTGTGTATGGAATGGTATGAGGGCATGGGATAATATAGATTTCATGCTTATAATTGTGTGTGAATGTTGAGTCATGATGTCGAGTGTGTGTGTCGAGTCAATAGCGAGTTATCGCTAGACGCGTGTTACGCGGTCGTTTGTGTCTCGCGCGCGGTTTCTATTTTGTCGTGCGCGGTTTCTATTTTGTCCTGTGTCGAACGTTCGGCGTGTCGCAGGTGTGTGCAGCAGACCCATCAAGAACTCAAGGATGAGTTTGTGATGAAGAGCCCGAGCCTTGGTGTCAAGCCTCAAGTGATTTCGAAGCTCGCCAAAAGGGTACACCTCAAGATATTGAAGATAGTTACATTACTTTGTGTAGTGTAACATTTCACTTGGTGTAGGCCCTAGTGAAGGGTAGTTTCGAGACCCTTCGTGGTTGGGGACAGTGTGGCACTGTTCCACATCACTGTACCTCGGCTCTTGGGGTTTGTAGGAGCTGGGAGTCATTCCCAACTCGTAACTCTTCCTATCTTGTGTTATAAGACTATAGTGGCTGCCATAGTACCGTTCGTTCAAACCGACGCTGTGTCGTCAATTCTTTATCAAATCGTGCAATCTAAATTGCTAATTGTAGACGACGTGAAGACGCTCCAGATCCAATTTGAATCAGGTCATTTGCAGCTGTGAGCAGAACGCTATCAACGTTTGAATCCGCTGTGCAGAAATCCGTCTGTGCTCTCTATCTTTCGTTTTAGGCACATTCAAGCCTATTGTGACTATAACAAGTGGTATCAGAGCCCCTTGGAGCAGTTTCGACAATGTCTGGACCTGAGGAAAGGGGTGGCAGAGGTGCTGGTGGCAGTGGAGAAGCTCAAGCTCAAGGCCAACCCCGTGATTCAGCCATGGCGCCCATGCAACCAAGTCTTGGCCCACCTAGGGATGAGCCTAGGGTGTTTGGGCTTGACAAGTTCAACGGTGACAACTTTGCTGAATGGTCCTTCAAGATGGAGAACATCTTTGACCACTATGACCTGCTGGAGGTGATGGAAGGAACGGAGAAGCGCCCCGAGAACGACCCGGAGAAGAGCCCGTGGGTGCGGAAGAGCGCACAAGGCTATCTCTTACTTGGGCAAGCGTTGGGGAGCAGTCAGATCCGTCACATCAAGCCATTCCAGCGTGAACCAGAGAAAGGACCAAAGGCATGGGCTGCTCTCAAGGGTGTACATGCTCCTGCAACAGCGGCGGTAGCGGTGGTGTTGGAACGGCAAATGGCGGCACTACGAATTGAAGAAGACGAAGCGGTTGAAGAAGGGGTGCAGAAATTCTTCGACTTGTTGACGCGGCTTGAGGGAGCTGATTTGAACTACAGTGAGCTCCAAAAGAAGACCAAGTTGCTGGCCTTACTCCCAGAGTCATGGTCCTCGCTCATCATCAACCTTAATCGCGACTTGCCCCGCCTCTCGCTTGAAGACGTGAAGCGAGCTATCCTTCAAGAGGATTTCCGCCGCCGTGAGTTGGCGAGTGCGGATGGCGCTGGGGCAGCGAGCATCGGCCGTGGATATGGTCGAGGAAGAGGCAGAGGACGAGGGGGAGGAAGGTTTGGTGGCAGCAACTTCGGCGGAGGCCGCAGGAGTGGCGGTTACGGCAGCGACGACAAGAGCTACGGACGCGGTCGCGGCCGATTCGACGGCGAGTGTCACTATTGCCACAAGAGCGGACACATGTGGCGCGACTGCTACAAACTCCCTGATGGATGGACCCCTGCTCAAGGCCAAGAGGGTAGAGGAGCAGGAGGAGGGAGAGGACGAGGCCGTGGAGGCCGTGGCGGTCGCGGTGGCGGAGCTGCAAACATGAAGAGCGGAGACAACGACAAGGACCCGAGCGACGATCGATACCCGGGTCTATTCTACTTCGTGTCGACGCAAGTACCGGCTGGTCCAGAGAAGGATGAAGGCTTTGAGGAGCCAGCAGCTGTGGGGAAGGTGACCCTACACCCCCTGGACTATTGGGTGATTGATAGTGGCGCTACCTATAGCATGACACCTCGCCCGGACTTGCTCACCGAACTCGAGCCGTCACCGGTGAAGCATGTCACATCGGCTTTGGGGCAGCGAGCAGAGGTGAAAGGCATGGGCAAGGCCATGTTCAAGGGTGCTGATGGGAAGATGGTGGGCCTCAAGAACGTGCTTTGGGTGCCCAGCCTTGCTGCAAACCTGATTTCCGTGCGGCGGTTGGCAAAGGCCGGCATGGACACGAACTCGAAGGGAGCCAAGACCTACACCGCAAGGCTTGGCGATCGAATTCTTTGGGACCTTCATGAGGACAGGGATGTCTACAACGAGATGTGGCAGATCCCAGTGGTCCCTATGCCTAAGGAGAGGCAAGTGGCAGCAAGCATCAGCACCAAGGATGGAGCGATCGGTAGCGACGATGGCGCGAACGGTCGCGCTAAGGAGAATGAGCTCAAGAAGAGCAAACCTGGAGGGACCAGCAAGTTCAGTGAACCTAAGGAGAGTGGTGCAGCAACCAAGGAGCAGCAAAAGGGTGAGGAGAACCCAGAGGCAGCAGCGGAGGAGGACTACGGAGAGAGTATGTGGGGCGCTATTGCGAGCGCGGCATTCTCCAATCCAACTTCGGCTACGGGGGAGTGTGATTGGCTCACCTTGCATCGGCGCATGGGGCATGTGGCCCTGCCCATCTTGCAGCAGCTAGTGAAGAATGAGATGGTTGCTGGCATACGTGTGAAGGGGGAGCCCGATGAGGTGCTTGGCTGCCCGACGTGCATTCAAGCCAAGTTCACCCGGTGATGAGGTGGTGATGGACGTGGTGGGCCCCCTGAAGCTTGGAGCTGCTGGAGCTGAGTATTTTCTCACCATTGTCGACGTCTACACCCGCATGACTTGGGTGTACGTGCTGGCCAAGAAGAGCGACGTGGCTGAAACGTTGAAGACGGATTGGTTCCCGATGGTGGAGCGGCAACAAGACCGTCTAGTCAAGTCAATCCGCACCGATCGAGGGGGAGAGTTCCTAAGCAAGGAGTTTGGGTTGTGGCTGAAGAAGAATGGTATTCGGCACTCCCTCACCATGCCATACTCCCCTGCAATGAACGGCATCGCCGAGCGAGCGAACCGCACAATCACGGAGGCGGCACGCGGGTTGCTCATTGAAGCCGGGCTACCCGACTATTTCTGGCCTGATGCGGTGCGGAGCGCGTGTGTGGCCAAGAACAGAGCCTTGACTCATGTGGGAGCAGACAAATGGGTGCCCTATGTGGAGTGGCTAGGAAGGAAGCCAAAGGTGGATATGCTTCGGGTGTTCGGGTGCATGTGCATGGCGCTCGTGCCTAAGCATCTTCGGCACAACAAGCTTGGTGCCAAGGCGGTGTGGGCCGTGCACTTGGGCATGGCTCAAAACAGCAAGGGATGGCTTCTTTGGGACCCATTCACCAAGAAGTTCTTGGTGAGCAGGGACTGCAAGTTCATGGAGAACTTCATGTACAAGGATTGGAAGGCGGAGAATGAGGCGAAGATAGGCGTGCGGTTTGGGGAGGTGAAGAGTTCCGGTTTGGAGCATGTGGAGCTGCCTTTGGAGCTGAGCAGCGGCAGCACAACCACAAGGCAATCCTCCCTTGTGAATGGAGGAGAGGAGGCCAATGATGCAGAGGAAGAAGAGGAGGAGGTGCAGCAAGTGAGCGAGCGTGCACCGTCACTCCCTTCCCGTACTACGAGTGCTCCACGGATTCGAGCCACACCGCAGCAACGCCAAGGCCTTCAAGTCCCTGCAGCTGAGGAGGAAGGAAGGGGGAAGAGGAGAGTTCAACCCCCTAATAGGCTGACCTCTGATGCGCCGGGAAAGCAGGGCAAGACAGCCCTGGCCGGAGCGGCAATGATGGTCGGAGACGACGAGGAAAGTGACTACGAGGAGTGTGCCTTCGCGTTCTTCTCTCCGGTGGAGATGCCGGGAGAACCAGCAACTCTCAAGGAGGCTTTGGAGAGTAGTGATGCTGAGGAGTGGAAGAAGGCCATGGAGAGTGAGCTGAAGAGCATTGAGGAGAATGACACGTTTGAATTGGTGGAGCTACCGGAGGGGCGTACGGCGATAACGTCCAAGTGGCTCTTCAAAATCAAGTTGGATGCCGACGGCAAGATCGAGCGCTACAAGTCTAGGCTTGTAGCCAAGGGGTACCAGCAGAAGGAGAAGGTGGACTTCAAGGAGCTGTTTGCCCCTGTGGTGAAGCCGACGACGCTGCGAACCCTATTCGCGGGAGCCGCCATCAAAGGATGGGTAGTAAAGCAAATGGACATCGTAACGGCATTCCTTAACGGCATCCTTGAGGAGGAGATTTTTATGGCGCAGCCAGAGGGGTTTGATGATGGTAGTGGCAGAGTGTGGAAGCTGAAGAAGGCCCTCTATGGGCTGAAGCAGGCCCCTAGGCAATGGTACATGAAGCTGCGCGAAGTGTTGGAG